ATCTATATAGATTTGTAATCTCAAAGATTTTCTGATTACTTTTTGCATGCATATTTGAGATTCGTTTCAACTCGTCTTGAAAAAAATACAATCAGTAGATTTATTTGTTTGCTAAATTGATTAAGAAATAGGTATATAATATATGATTGTTACGTTTAATTATTTTGTTTCTTGGGTCAACTAATGGTTGATTTGAAAGACGGATTGATTGACCTTTAGGTGAGTGAGGGAACATGTGGAAAAAAGTAGATGCAGAACACAAGAGGTTTGTTCTTCTTTCAATCATAATTCAATGGAATCTAGGGTTTTCTAATTCGTGTTTTCCTTCATATGAACAAAAAGTTTATGATTGTGTTTCTGGTAGGTTGAGACCACACAATAGTGGAACCTCAGAGGAGAAGATGAATGCAAAGTTTTGTCTTCCCTCGGATCTTGTAGCTTTGATATTGTCTCGTCTTGCTTTGAAAGACAACTTATGCTCTTCTCTTGTTTGCAAGACATGGTGTGAGATTGCTGCTTCTGTTCGGGTTAGAGATCCTCCTTACTGGCTTATGTATCCTGATCGATGCTTTGTCAGGGGCGTCTCTTACGGGTTTTACGACCCGATAAAGAAGAAGAAGACAAAAGCCATGAATCTACTTGAGTTGTCGATAAGTTCACATATCGCTTGTTCCAATGATGGGTGGTTACTCATGATAGACTTGGGTTTACATCTCAACATCTTCTTCTTCAATCCTTTTACTCGAGAGTGCATAAACTTGCCTAGATTCGAAGGGTTACTATCGAATTATGGTTTCTCTTGTGCTCCTACGAAGAAAGGTTGTTTGGTGTTTGGTATTAGTATTTCCTCGAGTGAAGCTCACAATTAGCACTTGGCATTATGGTGCAACTACATGGGTAATGGAGGACTTTCCTAACCTGGTCCCTTCTTACTTTAATCATACAAAAAACGTCTTATATTTGGATGGTTTCTTCTAAACGTCGTCTGAATTACGCTAGGGGCATTCGATCCATCTGCACGTACTTGGACCGTTCTTCCTATGGAGCCGATCCCTAGCCCTGGCCCTCATGTTCGCACGGTCAGGTGGATGACTAATTATAAAGGACAGATCTTTCTTGTAGATGCATCGTCTCCGGACCCGATGGTGTTTAGGCAGAACCGGTTGGAGATGGTTTGGGAAGAGAAGGAAATTCTTGATGGTTCATCAGTATTTGTGTGTGATGGGTCATGCGTGATGACCACTGGGCTCACAGGGTCAATGAGTAACATTGTGAATATCTGGAACAGTCATAACTTTGGGAAGTATCTCGACATGTATCATTTTCCTTTGAAGCGTAATCGCCCCAACAAGTATTCCTTATATAGCAGGAGCTTTTGTGAAGACCCTGAAGGGTATTATTTTGAATATCAGACCGAGAATCGGATTAATGGTGCCTGGATTGAGCCGCCCCACGACATCTCTATCTTTGATTTTTCCATTCTTGATCCCTCTAATGCCATCAATACACCTCTGCTTATTTTAAGTCTCAGCTTCATCTTGCTACTCCTAAAGGCTTAAGATTAATTAAATATTGTAACAGATGATATGTGTATTGTCTATGTTATAGCAATAGATTACTATTGAGAAATTTGTGTTTTAAAATGGAGAAAACAATGAATTACTTCCTATATTTGCTCTATTAATGGAATATAGGAAGTTTGAATGTAAACTAGACATCTTAGAACAAGTGTTATTAGTGTCGTTGTAGCTAAATGAAGACCGGTTAAGGTCGTTGCTGCAAGTGAATCGAAGAAATGTATGGAGCCATTTTAACTTTGTCATCTTCGATCACAAACTCCCAAGAAATTACAGAACCAAGTCGAAGCAAACAAGTGAATTTGAAAGAGTGAATCTTTTCATTATCCATCAGTTTTCATGCGATCAGAATCAAAACGAGTTTTTGTCATAATCCGACCACCTTTTTATATTTTCAGAAGTTAGGATAGAACATCTATGAAAGTGTAATTCATTGGGAAATAAGTTACGTGGTCAATGTTAGCTTCACTGCTTCGTGCTCATTTTTTTGACTTATGCAAACTGTAAATTGGTCCACAAGTTCTTTCCTAGGGCTTCCGGATTTCTTTTTTTTTTTTTG